TACACTCGTTTTCATCCTTCTCTCCACTCCCTGTGGCAGAAGTCTCTAAACTCATCCTTTCCAATCATCCTACTACTTGTCCGCTTGATCCTATTCCATCTCATCTCTTTCAAGACATTTCTCCTGCCGTTGTACCTGCACTCACTCACATCGTTAACACATCCCTTCACACTGGTGTTTTTCCCTCAACATTTAAACAGGCTTGTATAACCCCACTTCTTAAGAAACCCACTCTTAACCCAATTCTTTTAGAGAGCTACAGACCGGTTTCCCTTTTACCTTTCATTGCAAAAACACTTGAACGAGTTGTGTTTAATCAAGTCTCAGCCTTTCCCACACAGAACAACCTCCTGGACAGCAACCAATATGGCTTCAGAAGTGGACATTCGACCGAGACTGCCTTGCTTTCATTTATTGAAGCCCTAAGACTGGCAAGAGTGGCTTCCAAATCTTCTATACTTATTTTGCTGGATCTGTCTGCTGCTTTTGATTCAGTGAACCACCAGATTCTCCTGTCAACCCTATTGGAAAAAGGCATCTCAGGAACTGCAAGCCAGTGGTTTGAGTCTTACCTATCAAATAGGTCCTTCAAGGTATCTTGGAGAGGTGAGGTGTCCAAGTCGCAACATCTATATACTGGGGTGTCTCAGGGCTCAGTTCTCGGACCACTTCTCTTCTCTGTCTACATGGTGGAATGACCTGCCCAACTCAATCCCAGCAGCTGAGTTCTTAGCCATCTTCAGGAAACAACTAAAATCACATCTGTTCCACCTTTATTTGACCCTCTAACGCTAGCACTTTCTATTCTACTTTATCTACATTTATATCTTTTTTTTTTATTAAAAAAAAAGTTTTATATTTTTCTATTCTATTTTTTTCTATTCTATCTACTTGTTTTTCTTTGTGTGTGTGTGTGTGTGTGTGTGTGTGTATTATATGTATATGTATATACTCAGTCTCGGAGTCTCACGGAGGAGCTCCGGAAGGATAAAAGGGAAGAGTGACGACTGTGTCGGACTCGAGACCGGTGAGTGGGTGCAGGTGTAGCTCATTAGCAATCACTCCACCAGCCTCGCTCCATTCCCAAGGCTCTCGGCCCCGCCCCCACTCGTCACACTAGACTTGTCATTTGCACTTATATATTGTTGCTCTTTTGTTAGTTTTGACTGCTTTTATTGTCCTCATTTGTAAGTCACTTTGGATAAAAGCGTCTGCTAAATGACTAAATGTAAATAAAGTGCTATAGAAATAAAGGTGACGAGTTGACATGTATGTTTTTTCAAAAAGAATTTGAATAAACTAAATAGAAGATTATAGAACTGGCACAGAAGAGTTTTGAGCAGTTCACATCTGAACAAATGATGGTTTGATATGAACGATGGTCTCTTACCCCTCTTGCTGAGCTGTATATTGGCTTGTCGTCTGCCGTGGCCATTCTCTACATAACAGGAGTAGTTTCCCAGGTCACTCTCCTCTACGGCATCTATGGTCAGCGAGATGGATACCTCCTGCTCTCCCAAGTGCTCCCGAATAGTTCTGGATTGGAGGAGAGAAGAAGGGGAAAACTGTTCAACGATAAACACCTATGATTTGAATCAAATTCACTCTCAAGTTCATGCAGAGCACAGCCTCCTCCCTGTATTATAGCTCCTCTATATCTGTTCTGTTCGCCAAACATCCTGACCCACAATGACCCTGTCCAAAAAAAGTAAATTTCTCGAAACTATGAATCTGTTTTTTCATTTGTTTCAAATCAAAGACAATACGGGTGAATTACATCATGCTATCATGCTCCAGCATTCATCACTGGCTGAACACACAATCCTCACCATGCTATCACTAATAAGCAACATTTTTCACACAACAGTCAGGATGAATAAAAAGGACTACAATTTAATTGGCTGTGGATCTAAAAATAAAAACACACAAAAAGAGCTTGTGCTCTAGAAGAGATTCTCTGTGGTGATCTGATGTGGATATACTGTAGATGTGATTCCAAAATCTGACCATATACATTTGGGAAATGTTTCCTCTATTTCTTTAGTACTTTTCACTACATTTCTTCAGTACATTCAGGATTCACATGCACACTTATAGCATATTTTCCTACTCCCCCTACATACTGTAAAATTATATACAGGTGCATCTCAATAAATTAGAATGTCATGGAAAAGTTCATTTATTTCAGTAATTCAACTCAAATTGTGAAACTCGTGTATTAAATAATGGTGGCTCTTGATGCCTTGACCTCAGCCTCAGTCCATTCCTTGTGAAGTTCACTCAAATTCTTGAATCGATTTTGCTTGACAATCCTCATAAGGCTGCGGTTCTCTCGGTTGGTTGTGCATCTTTTTCTTCCACACTTTTTCCTTCTACTCAACTTTCTGTTAACAGGCTTGGATACAGCACTCTGTGAACAGCCAGCTTCTTTGGCAATGAATGTTTGTGGCTTACCCTCCTTGTGAAGGGTGTCAATGATTGTCTTCTGGACAACTGTCAGATCAGCAGTCTTCCCCATGATTATGTTGCCTAGTGAACCAAACTGAGAGACCATTTTGAAGGCTCAGGAAACCTTTGCAGCTGTTTTGAGTTGATTTGCTGATTGGCATGTCACCATATTCTAATTTGTTGAGATAGTGAATTGGTGGGTTTTTGTTAAATGTGAGCCAAAATCATCACAATTAAAAGAACTAAATACTTAAACTACTTCAGTCTGTGTGCACTGAATTTATTTAATACACGAGTTTCACAATTTGAGTTGAATTACTGAAATAAATGAAATTTTCCATGACATTCTAATTCATTGAGATGCACCTGTATCTAGAAGCTTTTCCTAATTGATGATAGCATTTTTTTAACCTGCATACAATTTCTGTACATTTTACATTCACATTTACATTCTGCCGCATTTTCAAAGCTTTGTGACCTATTCAAAGGTAAATTCTAAATGATATCAAAATAACACTGTTTGATTTTGTCTTGAAAGTTTGACATTTGTAAAACAGATGTATGCTTGAGGGATGATTTTTATAGTTTTCAGAAAATGTAACTCAGCTATTGAGGAAAATATTAACACCCACAACCACTCATCAGAAACAGTGAAGAAAATGAAGAACTGACAGTTAATAAAACTTTTAAATTTTGATTAACAGAATCCCATCCTTCATAAAACACACACACACGGCTGCCAAGCTTTCACCAGCACTGTGGGGAAGAACAAAATAACAGGGTTAGCAAGAGAAAAAAAGTGTCTTTTCTTTGCAGCTGCCATGGAAACTATGTCTGCAGAGAGAGAGAGAGGATAATGAGGAATTTATGACATTAAAGAAACATTGTTTCTGTTCTTGTTCAAAAAGAATGAGGTGACGTTCTGCCCTCTTCATGTTTGTGGATGTTTGACATCTTTACAGTGAAGTCAGGACCGATGAGTCCAGTATGCCGGCAAAGATCAGACACATCACAGTGTTTGAAGTGGACAGAGACTCAAACTTACTGGATTTCAAGCCCGTCACGGAGCATTCTGGACGTCTCGGATTCAGAAATTAAATTCTGCTGTCATTACAGTCAGCTGTTCAATATTAGCAGGCCGTGGCTTCTCTTTCAGCCACTGGCACAGTCGGTCTCAGTCTCTCTCGAGGCTGGGATTGGTTTTGACGAACTGACAGCTGACATATGAAGCACAGACGAGAATGCAGAGAAACGCTTGCATTCAGACACAGCATGAGCAAAACACACCCTGAAAGTGCAAAGGGCTCTGGGGTCCTTTGATGCTCATAACCAGTGAAAGTCAGTGAGAGAAAAGTCACATACAGTCTGTATCTATACTGATGGAAATATATATAGTATGTGTGCCTTGTATCTCTTCCATAAAGCACCAGGTATGCATGTATTCTTTACAGAATACACAACCACTAAAATGAACCCAGCAGTTTCATGCCTCCTCTGCCTTCGTCAAGGTGACAGGCCTATTGAGGACTATGTGGAGGATTTTTGTGAACTGTCTAACCAAGTGGATTTTAATGATGTGGCACTTAAGGACATCTTTCGGGTGGGTCTGAATGGGCCCATTTGCTCCCAGCTTCCTGGGGGTACGGTTCACTGGTCCCTTGCCGAGTATATAGACTTTGCTCTGCGGTTGAGTGGATCTGCTTTCACTGTGGGTGTCATGGTGGAGGAACATGACACTTCCCCAAAGCCTGTTCACGTCATGCCTGCTACGCCAAACCCTGCTCACGTCATGCCTGCTACTCCAGGACCTGCTCACATCATTCCAGATAAGTCAAAGTTTACTCATGTCATGTCTACAAACTCCAAGCCTGATCACATCATGTCTGCCAAGCCAGAGTCCGCTAACGTCATGTGTGCTACCCCAGGTCCTCTTCACGTCACGTCTGCCAAGCCAGAGCTTGCTCA